TTATCACTGACCGATAAATAAACACTGCATAATGATCACTAATCCATTATAATATTCTAAAAAAAAAAAAATTATATATATATATATATATATATATATATATATATATATATATATATATATATATATATATATATATATATATTTGAAACAATAGGAAGGAACGATGGCGCATCTCTCCTTACTACACTCAAATAATAAACTTTTCAACGAGACGAAAAATTTGCAAACAATATACCATCAACCGCGGCCCAACCAGGGGGAAAACTACCTAATTATCGTAAAGTTGGACATATACTATATATATTTTTTTTTTTCACGGCGGGTGAGTGTAAGGCCATAGTCACCCCCAACAACAATAACTCGTTTTCTACACTTCATGACGATAGCGGGAACCACACCCGAATTTTCTTTTTTAAACCTGTCTGTCCGTACGAGCTGCGGTTTCTATTCAATAACTCGACAAAAACTTGGTGGATCTAAATGAAACTTGGTAGAATACTTCATGGTGTAAATATCTTGGACGAGTTTAATTATTAGTGTTTTATATGAATTGTTTGTGTAGTTAAGCCCGGTTAAGGGAGGAGGAGGAGGTGGTGTTGTTTGAGGGAGACGATGGAGGAGGAAGAGGTGTTTGTGGGAGGAGGAGGAAGAGGTGTTTGTGGGAGGAGGAGGAAGAGGTGGTTGTGGAGGAGGAGGAAGAGGTGTTTGTGGGAGGAGGAGAAAGAGGTGGTTGTGGAGGAGGAAAAGGTGTTTGTGGGAGGGGATGGAGGAGGAAGAGGTGTTTGTGGGAGGGAAAAAACGTACTTCTGGGACGGAGAAGAGGAAAGAGAAAGAGTAGGGGTGGAAAAGGCAATAATGAGGGAGATATATGATTGGACAGAGAGAGAAAGAGAGAGAGAGAGAGAGAGATATTATCCTACCAGCCTCTAAATATCCGGGCTTTGAATTGGATTTTCAAGGCTTAGTAAGTAAACAAAAATATCCCCAACAAACTGTGATACAGAAACAAAAAAGGCATCTGGCTCCCGCTTATGACGTAACAATGAACAGCCAATGGCATCAAATTCCCAGTAACCATGTCGACACCTGAAGAGTTACGTACAGTAAATGGTAAACAAGATAGGGGTTCACCACACACCGGCCACACCATCATGTAATGTGACCGCTCCCAGGACCACAGTGAACGGACGCCGCCACCACTAACAATGGTAAAAGTTAACCACCACAAACACATACCGCCGCCGTTCCGCAATCCGGAAATAATGGCAGCTAAGCAACCCATATTTCCAGGTCGCTTACTAGTAGAAGGAGGTATTGTTATTTTATTATTATTTTTTTCCTGCCTGCCTTTCTTGTTCTCCCTTCACACACACACACACTTTTTATAGTCTTGTTATTCTCGTATTTTTATTATTTCTTCCCTCTCTCACTCCTCCACCCATTAACACACAGAGGGTGGAGGAGGTCTCCCCCCCCCCATACACACCAATATTTTACCCTCCTTCCCTTCCTCCACCCACAAAGACAATGGGCGGCAGACTTTCTCTGGCTGAGGAAGAATGAATATTGATACAAAAGTTAGGCGGTGTGTGTGTGTGTGTGTGTGTGTGTGTGTGTGTGTGTGTGTGTGTCATGAAAGGATTAGGCGTGGGCAAGGTGTGGTGAAAGTATAGTAATGGGAGTTGGTGGAAGTACAGGGGGATGGTAATGGGTGTAAAATTAGGATTAAATATAGGAATGGGCGTGGGCGTGATGTGTACGGCCAACTGTCTTTAATCAGGTCATTCATGGGAGATTAAGATACTTCTAATTCCTCTAACTAATCACCAAAGCCCCTTTCTCCAACCTAATCACAAAGACCTGGACCTCAGTTCAGGAAAGGGAAGTCCACCACAACAGCGACAGCCCTGGCATGTGAAAACAGCCAGAGCCACAGCGACTGGTAGACAATGTAATCTAACTCTCCGGGATGTAGCGAAGGCATTTGACAAAGTCTGGCACGACGGTCTAAAATATAAGATCCTCCAACCCGGACTTCCCACCAACATTGAAAAGCTGCTTTGTAACTTTCTTGACGGCAGAAATGCCAGACTGAGGGTAGGACAACACAGGAAAGACCTTCCCACTCATGAACGGAGTCCCTCAGGGCAGCGTCCTCTCCCCCACCCTATATATTATCTACACAAGTGACACCCCGCCTCCCACTAGAATAGGTAACGAAGATATTATGTATGCAGATGACATCACTCAAATAACAACACATCAAGGAAAATCGCGAGCGTTACAGGTCGCCAACACCAGGCGGGAATTAGAAAGGGTAAATAATTACGAAAAACAATGGAAAATCCAAACCAGTCTCCCGAAATTCACAGTGACACCCTTATGCAGAAGGAAAACCCATCCATTAGTAACCAGTAATGCCCAGATAGAATACAAAAGCAGAGGCACCCTCCTGGGCCTGCATATATCCACGACAGGTTACTCCCATCATGTCCACAACAGGAAGGAAAAAGCAAGAAGAGAGCTGAGAAAACTATACCGCTTTAAAGCGCTTCCTGATAAAATAAAACTCCGCCTGGTGACATCATTTATCACACCGATATTAACTTACCCAGCAATACCTCTTCATACTATGAGCACCACTCAAATATTAAAATTACAGGTGGTCCAAAATGAAGCCCTAAGATTCGCCACAGGTGAAAGATACCCCTTCACCAGAACCACAGCCGAGTTACATAGACCTGAGAATAAAACCCATCAACCAGCAGCTGCACACCCTGGCCAGCAGAATCTGGCAAAAGATAGAACGACCAGAGCAAGAACTCCTTCAAAGACTCCCACCAGATAACGACAACAACCATACATGGTTCCCAAAAAGTTACCAAATCTCAAAAGGTCCATTACCACCCGATCTACACGGCCAGGCAATAGACAACCTCCCTAGACCAGCATCCGCCAGTAGGGTCGGCGGAATATGAAATAAGGCCCTTAAAACACCCATATATGGGACAGGGTAGGCTGTCTAGTGCCTGTACCGACAGAACATAACTAACTCATGACACAACCCTAACACACTATTAGCTTAGCTAGGCGGTCAGCCTGCCCTCTTTTACCTCCTCCTAAATTTCTTCAATTTCCTAACAATAACTTCCTTCCCCCACCTCTAATCTTCTTTCACCCTACTTTCTCTACACAAAAAAAAACTCAGCGAGATTGGTGTTGTATCATTGATTACGTGGAGGCATCCTGGGCAACCGCGAGGCTTGGCACAATTCATTCTTCCTCGTCATCGTACACACACACACACACACACACACACACACACACACACACACACGCTTTTACACACACACACCACACACACCAATTTCCTCAAATTCAGTATAGCCTGTGGGTTCATCTCTGAGCTCAAAAGGATTCGAAACCCCAAGAGGTGAACCCGGGTCATCCTACAATGACTGTGAGAGAGACAGGGAGAGGGGGGGGGGTGATGCACCTAGCTACAGACAGACAAACAGACAAACAGAACAATTGAGCATTCCCGGTAATTTCGCTCCAACAGTCTCCATCCAGAACTCGTAGTAACCGGAAGAGAAATTCAAAATCCGGAAGAGTATTCGGCTGAAGGGAGAGGGGAAGGGAAAGGGAAGGAGGCCAGTAATTTAATTTTCCTTTCCTTATTTATTTTTCACCTTATTTTAAATCGTCTTTTCACTTAATTTACTTATTTCCATCTTTATTCTTGATTATATCGACACTTGTTTGTGTTTTCCACGATTTTTTTTGTTTTACTTGTCGCTTGCTTCTTGTTTTTTATTTATCCCCTTTCTCCTTTATAATCATTTCTCTCACTTATTCCTCCCCTCATTAATTTTCTATGCGTACAGTCTCGTTCAAGATTCTTCGAAACAACAAAGCCCAACTATTAAATTAAGCAACGGGGAACTAAGTAACCAATCACCGATCACTTTTACATTTACTCATAATTTTTACTACGTACTATAGTAAACAAACGGCCTTGAGTTGCCAGCTGTCTCCAGTAGTGTTCGAAGAATCTTGAACGAGACTGTACCTTAATTTGTATTCTCGCCTATTACCCAATTTACTCTTGTTTCTTTTACCTCCCATTTACACTAAACTTTATATTTTCTTAACACACTACAAACTTAAACTAATCTAACATATCGTACAGTATATCTCCATTACTTGAACGAGGTCATATATCTTCATACACTTTATCATTAAATTTCAAGTCAATCCATCACCACAGTCTTTCTATCTCTATGTCTGTCATTTCAGCTATAATTACCTGCCATTGTCAATTCTTCCGTAACGAACTATTTTGTTTTTCACATTCGTTCCTTGCTGCCGGTTGGGTTAGCGTGTTTTTGTATCTATGATAATTTTGTCATTCGGGCTGTTTATAACTATGATAATTTGTCCCACTGGCTGTTATAACTGTATGGTAACTTGTCACAATGGCTGTTATACCTACGATAACTTGTCACTGGCTTTTATAACTACGATAACTTGTCACACCGGCTCGAACGTTCACTAGACACATAACAAAAGTAGGTCACAGTTTGAAGGTGAAACACAACACACCGGCGAACCACAAAACATAGTGGATGGATATATACACTAGAGATGGGTGTTATTCTGTTGACGATGCTTTGTTTTAACCTAATAATTACCACGCCTCTTAAAGTTGTGAACACGGCGCTATCTAACGTTCAAGAAGAAAGAGTAGTAATAATAATAATAAATAGAAATAATAATAATGATGATAACAATAATAAAATAATAATAATAATAATCGCTGTACAAGTGAGTTTTTATCCTAAACGAGTGAGTCGCTGTGACGTGACTTACACGAACGACTCTTTAAACGTTTTGCTTTTGTTCAGGGGAAACTTTTTTAAGCGTCGCTCCTAGACACAGAGTTTTGAAAAGGCTACATCAATGGAGAAACAAGAGAGAGAGAGAGAGAGACTCACCTCTATGTCAATCTCCTGCTCGAGGAACTGGGAGAGAGACTGCGGGAGGTCACCTGGGAAGATGTAGTCCCCGTCAGGTGAGTCCGAGTCGCTGCCCTCGCCTTCCCCGCCCACCCACTCGCCCGCACCCACCGCCCACTCACTCACGCCCATCAACGAGATCTGTGACGAGAGAAGAGACATAGTTATAATAAAATATACTACTAACGTTACTATTATTACTACTACTTATAATAATAATAATAATAATAATAATAATAATAATAATAATAATAATAATAATAATAAAACACACCTAACCTAATACCCAACAAAATCGAATTCTCTATATACTGGACCTAAATCCTGTTAACAACCTTTCAACAAAATGTCAACAATATCAGAACACGTAAAAAACTGAAAAACAAAATTGACAACAAACAATTTCATCACCAGTGACTTGTTGACCTTGATCTGACCTCTGACCTTCAAGCGGTTAATCCAGAATGGAATATTGAATTTAAAACCTGACTTTTTTTTTTACCACTGTATTATGACCTTCCAATAGATAATCAGGTTTAGAAACGTTTACAAACAGATGGCTATTTCAAGACAGACAGACAGACAGACAGGGAAACAGACAGAGACAGCAATGAAAAACCTGCAAGTGACTTACCTCCGTCTGTGTACCCGTTGTGACACTTGACCCCCCGTCACCCCGTCTCTCCTCCACCCTATCTTCCTTCTCTCCTTCATCACCTTCTTCCTCCTCCTCCTCCTTCCTTTCCTTCTTCACTTCTTCCTCGTGTTGGGTGGAGGAGTCACTAGCGGGCGTGGGCGTGGTGGAGGTGTGTGGGTGTGTAGGGGTGGAGGGTGTTGAGGTCTGCTGGGTGTTGTTGTTGTGAGGTCGACGCAACACCTGAACCATAATGGGCTCAGCTGCCTCCTGGAACACCTTGACTGCCTCCGTGTGGCTTAGACCGCTCACGTCCTGCCCGTTCACCTGTAATGATAATAATAATACAATCATAGTATATCAACAATAATAATACTACTACTACTACTATTAATAGTATAGTCCTTGCCCTCAACACACCTGCCTTGAACACACCTGCCCTCAACACACCTGCCTTGAACACACCTGCCCTCAACACACCTGCCTTGAACACACCTGCCCTCAACACACCTGCCTTGAACACACCTGCCCTCAACACACCTGCCTTGAACACACCTGGGATAGTACAGTAGGTGAGATGGGAGAGGGTGGGATGGAGGAGATCGATCTATCGCTTTATAAAATGTGAAGTTACCGTATCATGATATCGGCTGTAAGTTTTGTATTATTCACGTCTGGATGAAGAACATACGTATATTATTCGTTAAATCCGTTAAAACGGTTAAAACCGTTGAAACCGTTAAAACTGTTGAAACTTGAAAACCTCACACACTCCACATGACACTTCCACTATCCACCTGACACCACATTACACCTCTCACACACCTCGCTTATACGAAAAATGGTGTAACTCATAAGACTGATAAGAGACCGAGAAAACCCCAAAAGACTGACACCAACAAAAGACAGACGAGACCAAAAAAAAATACCGACAAAAGTCTGACAAAACTAACAAAATACAGACAAAAGTCCAACAAAAGTCTGACAAAATTAACAAAATACCGACAAAAGTCCAACAAAAGTCCGACAAAACAACAAAATACCGACAAAAGTCCAACAAAAGTCCAACACAAAAAAAAATACCGACAAAAGACCAACAAAACTAACAAAATACCGACAAAAGTCCAACAAAACTAACAAAATACCGACAAAAGTCCAACAAAAGTCCGACACAACTAACAAAATACCGACAAAAGTCCAACAAAAGTCCGACACAACAGACGGAAAAAAAGAAGAAAATACTAAGACAGGAAAAGAGAAAAAGAAGAAGAAAAAGGTGAACACTGTCTTACCGCCACTGAACCTTCAAGACCCACAACTACTGTCAGCGCTTGTCACCACCACTGACAGCTACACGAACACCTACCTGTCTCCCCCCCCCACCCTTCCTCCTCCTTCTCCACCAGACCCCTACTTCCTCCCCCTCACCCCCTTCCTCCGCCTCTGTTACACTCCTTCTCTTGCCTCCTATATTCCTTCTCCTTCTTCGTCGATCCCTTCCTTCCTGTTCCTTCTCTCATCTTCCCTCCCTCGCGCGCGTCCTTCCTTCCTTCCTTCCTTCCTTTCTCTTCCTCATTTCTCTCTTCCTTCCTTTCCTCCCCACCCTCCCACCCTTTCACCCCATCCTCGTGTACAAACATACACTATACACACACGTACACCATACAAAACCATACACAAACACACACACGTACACTATACACACACGTACACCATACAAAACCATACACAAACACACACACGTACACTATACACACACGTACACCATACAAAACCATACACAAACACACACACGTACACTATACACACACGTACACCATACAAAACCATACACAAACACACACACGTACACTATACACACGTACACCATACATAGACGTACAATATACACACGTACACTATACCTACACACGTACACGAACCCATCCATCAACCCACAGGCCTAATTCCGTCTTCAGGGGGAAAAATATTACCTTACTATGCTTTCAGAATTTATCTATGCGCCATACCTAATAAGAACGAATTTAATGCGTTCTTTTATCTCCATCTCGATTAAAATGACAAAAAAAAACACCTTAGAGAATATTAAGTCCTGGGTTAGTAAATTAGTTATATATATAAAAAGAATATCGAATAATGTCTTGTGTAAACCCTTTGCCAGAGTTACCCCTATAAACCACAGAAAACGGGGGCACAGAGAGGGGAACTATCCTAATGGTCACTTACACTGAACTTTGATTCTTTACACTACACTTGTCCTTCGTCATATGTTTTACCTAGTAACAATAGGAGGTTGGGGGACAATTTAACACACACACACACACACACACACACACACACACACACACACACACACACACACACACACACACACACACACACACAATAATACACACACACACACACACACACACACACACACACACACACACACACACACACACACACACACACACACACACACACACACACACACACACACACACACACACACACACACACACACACACACACACACACACACACACACACACACACACACACACACACACACACACACACACACACACACACACACACACACACACACACACACACACACACACACACACACACACACACACACACACACACACACACACACACACACACACACACACACACACACACACACACACACACACACACACACACACACACACACACACACACACACACACACACACACACACACACACACACACACACACACACACACACACACACACACACACACACACACACACACACACACACACACTAGATTAACGTAAAAAAATAATGCTAAAATAAATATAGAGCCGAGTCGTACTGGCCAATTAGAGCCTAACAGGGGTCGTGTGTCTCTTGTTAAACACGAGGGTGAGGGGGCAGGAACAAGGCCTTCTGATTGGTGACCTCGATATACCAATAGGGAGGCTGAGCTAACAGAAGAGATTTATATGTGTGTGTGTGTGTGTGTTGAAATTGGAGGAAATGAAGGCGGAGAGGGGGGAGGGGAGTGGAGTGGAGAAAGAGGAGGACGGAGAAGAGGGTTAATAAGAGGAAGGGGAGAGAGAGAAGGCGTAGAGAGGAGGAAGGGAAGAGGAGGAGGTAGGGAAGAGGAGGAGAAGGAGGAAGGGAAGAGGAGGAGGAGGGCCGAGGAAAAACTACAGGTAGGCTCACGATACGAGTCTTTAAATTTGGCTTTTGCTGCAGCTACGCCCACGTCCTTACGCCCACCCTCTCATGATCACGCCCACCCTCAGACGATCACGCCCGCCCTCTAAAGATCACGCCCACCTTCTAAAGATCACATCCATCACGCCCACCATCTCAAGATCACGCCCACCCTCTAATGATCACACCCGCCCTCTTAAGATCACACCCGCCCTCTTAAAGATCACGCCCATCATACCCGCCCTCTTAAGATCACGCCCATCACATCCGCCCTCTTAAGATCACACCCATAACTCCCGCCCGCTTAAGAACTACGCCTACCCTCTAAATATCACGCCCACCCTCTCAATATCACCCCTGCCCTGTAAGGATCACGCCCACGCCTACGCCCGTCACGGCTAAGCCTCTACAATCAGGGTGGTGTTCCCCTCCGTCACTCTCTGGGGTGTGAGGCTACGGCTACCCTTCACAGCGAACACTGACCTACCTACCTACCTACCCATCTACCTACTTACCCACCTACCTTCCTACCTCCCCTATCCATCTACCTACCTACCCATCTACCTCACCTACCTACCTACCTACCTACCTACCTATCTACCTACCTACCTACCCTACCCATCTACCTCCCCTACCCACCTACCTACCTACCCATCTACCTACCCTACCCATCTACCTCCCCTATCCATCTACCTACCTACCTACCTACCTGCCTACCCCTTATCCCCCTACCTACCCTTCAAGGAACACGTCAACACCTAAATAAAACTCCTCCTGGTGACATCATTTATCACACCGATATTAACTTACCCAGTAGTACCTCTTCATACTATGAGCACCACTCAAATATTAAAATTACAGGTGGTCCAAAATGAAGCCCTAAGATTCGTCACAGGTGAAAGATACCCCTTCACCAGAACCACAGCCGAGTTACATAGAGACCTGAGAATAAAACCCATCAACCAGCAGCTGCACACCCTGGCCAGCAGAATCTGGCAAAAGATAGAACGACCAGAGCAAGAACTCCTTCAAAGACTCCCACCAGATAACGACAACAACCATACATGGTTCCCAAAAAGTTACCAAATCTCAAAAGGTCCATTACCACCCGATCTACACGGCCAGGCAATAGACAACCTCCCTAGACCAGCATCCGCCAGTAGGGTCGGCGGAATATGAAATAAGGCCCTTAAAACACCCATATATGGGACAGGGTAGGCTGTCTAGTGCCTGTACCGACAGAACATAACTAACTCATGACACAACCCTAACACACTATTAGCTTAGCTAGGCGGTCAGCCTGCCCTCTTTTACCTCCTCCTAAATTTCTTCAATTTCCTAACAATAACTTCCTTCCCCCACCTCTAATCTTCTTTCACCCTACTTTCTCTTTCTCTATAAAAAAAAACCTATCCTACCGATATACCTCCCTCATACACCAAATTACCCCCCCCACCCCCTCTCCTTAACATCTATACAGTCAAAAATTATCATCACTAAGTAAAAAAAACTTCCATTAATAAAATTCTTAAAACTTTTACAAAAATAAACACCGCGTGGATCAAGACGATGGATGCTCAAGTGATTGTTTACCCCTGGAGTGATGGTGAGGTTGGGGCGTCCGTCCGTCCGTCCTCTATGGTGAACCTGGGTCCCTGAGGCCGCCCCATCCGTCATCGGTAATTGGCCAGTTTCACGGGTTGTCAATAAGGCGTGTTTCCTCTCTTGGCTGCCGGGACTATGAGTCTTACTGGGTGTGCGGAACTAATGCATTGTTCTAATGAAGGGCGACCAACCACCCTCCCTCCCCCTCCCTCCCTCCTCCTCCACCTCCTCCTCGAGTCTTATCCCTATTAAGGTTATTTCTGGGTTTGTGTGTGTGTGTGTGTGTGTGTGTGTGTGTGTTGTTATAATCACTTCTTCCCTTTTATTCTCCTCTTCCATGTCTTCTTCCTCCTCTCTTTCACTCTCCTTCTCCTCTTCCTTCTTCCCAACAGTGATGAAGTTTCTGTACATCATTCAATCTCAAATATGAAAGAAATCACGTGTCGTCATATTATTCAAGGCTCGTGTATGTATGTATGTATGTATGTATGTATGTATGTATGTATGTATGTATGTATGTATGTATGTATAAGC